TAGTATTTTCAATATTTGTGTTCCTGTAATATTAATATTTTTTGAAATTAATATTTTAAAAAAATTTTATTTTTTTTTGAAATTTTTAAAATGTTTAAAATCAAATCGGATTTGAGTGGGTTTGTAGATAAGTGAAGAAAAATAATATAAAAATAAACAAATTTTTTTCAAAATTAAAATTAACTTCTATTTTTAAAACTATTCTTATTTAGCTTTTGTAAAACACAAAGAAATAAGTTATTTTTAACTTATAAATAAACTTTATTTATAAGTTTTAGTTTATTTTGATAAATTTTATGAATAAATTTATGTTAAAATGCATGTGATTTGAGTTAATTTTGTATACATGATATAAAATTATGAAATAAGTATTTAATTAAGTTATTTATTTAATAGAATTCTAAAATTACTTTTCTTGAAATTTTTCTAATTTAAATAACAGTTATTAAGAAACTTTTAAGAACACATTCTAAGAAAAGTATAAAGGAAATGGCCTTGTGATGTATTCCAGAATGATCTCTTTCTTAATAATAGAATTCTTCTTTTCTTCGCTGATACTTTATTCTGCTTATTTTCTTTATAATTGTATAAGTAGATGGAGTGGATAAAATCTTTGGTTTTACTTTCTCCTTTATCATACACTCTTCGTTATATCTTATTGTGATCGGCTACAAAGCATAAAAATCTATTGATCATATATATTCAGGTAAGTTTCGTTTATAGTTAGGTAAATGTTTTTCTTTTCAATTCCAAAGTGAGATAATAATTATTAAAATAAATGATATTGAGAAAATAACAAATATATCATATTAGTTTTTTTTTAAATTATTACACAAAAGAGAAATGTATTTTTAATTTTTTACCCATATATTTATAAGTATATACATAAGCTTATGTTTAATGATTATTTATAAATATTAAATCTTATCAATTCAATCGTTTAACGAGGTTATAATTTTATGTTAATCGTGATTATTTGTATGTTATATATATAAACTTAATTTTTACTGATTAAATTCTGAATAACTCGTACATGTAGATAAGGGTGGGTGGAGTTTCTGACCGTTTTCAGTTTCTTTTTTCCGTATAAGTTTTTGGAGGAATTACAGTGTGAGCAGTCAGAAAGCATGTATTAAATGAGCATATATTGAGGTACGTTTCTTCGTATTTAGTTAAATGTTTTTCTTTTCAATTCCTATGCGCATCTTTATTTATTTATTTATTTCATCATCAAATTTACATATTCATTACAATCAGTAATTACCAAATGATGTGAAATTGTTAAATATATCTTATTTGATCCTATGCCCATCTCTATAAATTTTGTTCCGTGAGATAGGTTAATTACTTCCTTTAAAGATATTTATTTTCCTTAACATTATTGCTTACATAGACCTTTAAATCATGACACTTGTAATTTTTATCCTAGAAAATAATTTTGTTCCGTTTTGTGAATAACACCCCTCAACAGTTCTTTTATTCAGCTTGTGCATTAGAAATATGTCCAAAGTATGTAGAAAAAAAAACGATATATAATCAATTTTGCACATCTACTCATTCGGAATTCATGAACAGCAACTTTTTTATATAATTCAATTTAAGTATAACAACAATGACAGTCAAACATTATTTTACTAAGTAAAGTTAGCTACCTAAACTATATGGTATTATTGATTTCAGTTAATCAAATTATCTTATATTTAATTTAATTATAACTACTTATAGACAATAATAGTATAATTACAACAAATAAATAATCACTTATTCAATATTGCTTTATGATTAATTATCTATTTATTATTTATCAATTCACCGAATGAAATACCATATCTTTATAAGTATAATAATAGAACATCGAGTCTTATCTATATGTTTCCTACCTATATGAAATGAAAAAAAAAAATTATATGAAATGAAATTGTTCATATTCTTCCAAGAGGTCAAACTTTGGTCTCTTGACTTCCCTTATTCACTTAAGCTACACTTACATTTTTTTTAATTAAGTTTTTTTTTATTTCCGTTAATGGGTACAAAATCTAAATAAATAAAATAAAAGAATCTAACTGATATGGAATGGAATTTCCTTAATGACAGGCAATACCAACCTTAAAAAAGTTTTAAGTTTAAAATATCTTTTAAAATTTACCAACACATTACCTCCTTCGGCTCAAGATATAGTACCATTAACTTCCCAATACCTGACCTCATTTTCATAGTGAAAATTAAAGTCCAAAACAAAACTACTGGTAGCCCTTTCCTATGATTAAGATACTCAATACTGAATCTCATGCATATAACTGTTAGTAATATGAATATCAAATTGGATGGTAGTTTTATCGATAAATCCTATGTAATGTATTTTCTTAACGCCATAAAACTGAACTGAACTAGTACTAAACATATTGTGTTTTTGTTGAAATTAGAAGATGAATATGAATTATATTTTTTTAATAGGGTTAATATTTTTTGACAAAAAAATCATTTAAAACATTTTTGTACGTTAAGAGATTAAAATAAAAAATTAAACCAAAACAAAATCAAAAGTTAATGAAGCAATATTTCAATTTAGCCTTATTTTTGTACCCCCTTGACTTTTTACTGCGAAACTTTGAAAATTTAATTTTAATGAAAAAAGAATATTTTCAGGAAAAGTATAAATGAATGGGCTTAGTAGTTATTCTGATACCTTCCTTAATTTTATAATACTAAGTAATAGAAATATTCTTTTCTTTACTAACACTTTATTCCACTGCTTCAATTCTTAATTACTCTTATTCGTAGGTGAGGATGGGTTATACTCTCTGAGACTGATTCATCCTCATACCCACTCTCTTCCCTTTAGCAAATTTTTGCAGTAATTACACTGTAAGAAGTTAGAAGTATGAGTTTTTGAAGTATAAATATACTGAGGTACGTTTCTTTATAAGTTTTTGCATATATTAATCTGAGGTACTTACCACAAAATAATATATAATATATTACCACATGTGAATATATTAATTAATTACGTGTAAAACTTCTTTCAACTAATCACACATACATATCAAACTGTTTTTAAAGTATATGACATGTTAGGATTTAAATATTAATAAAATCTAATAATATAAATTATTACCCAACATGTAAATCAATCGAAAATAAATTGTTTTAATTTAATTTATGATTTTAAATTTAAATTTAACTGAATGTAATTATGTTAAATAATTTGATTGAAGACTTTATTGCTCAGTGCATAAATATAAAAATTATTATTTTTTGTTATATTCTTATATAAAAATTATATTTCCTCAATTTTATCATACTAATGCATAAATATATGTTACATTGCTTATATTTTTTCAAAACCCTCTTTTTGAATTAAAGATATTTTTTCTTCTTCTTTATTCAATAAATTTACTCATTTTTCATAGTTTTAAATTTTTATTTTATTAATTTTTTTGTCAACAAATTTACTTAATTTTTAATTATTTTTTAACCTAAATAAAAATTAAAAATCATATAAAAATAAATAAGTTTTTTAAAAATTCACTTAAAAATAATCTAAACCCAATAATATCATTTTAGTTTGATTTAATTTTGATATTACATTCAAATCAAATAAGAATAACTACTATAAATTTTTAAATATAAATAGAAAGAAACTAAATAATAAACATCCTTACCATACAATTTACAGATTCATAAAATATGTAATAATTTATTTTTATATTATAAAAAAATTAGAAAATATTTACAATAATGTTAAATAAAATTTTATTTACACTGTACTATATTTAACGAATCAATTTTTATAAATTATGTAAAAATATTAAAATTATTAAAGTATTTAAATATTATTATATTGGATAGGGGTGAAAGTTCTATTCTTCTGTTGGGCTTTATTAATGAATTTATTTCGCTGTACATTTCCTTATTTATAGAGAGAGATGGAATATTTGGTCTTCATGACTTATGTTTGTCTTCCCTTATTCTTACACAATTTATAGCAAATATGATAAAATTCTTGAAGAATTTTTAGGAAAAGTTTCGTGGCATTTTTATTTCAATATATTTCTTTTAAGATTCGTTTAAATTTAATAATGATATTTTAATTACAAAACAATAATATTTATCTTTTATTATAATAAATTACAATGCTATCACAGTAGTCAATTTATATGAAAGAAAGCAATCAGTCAATCTTCTGGAAAGTGATGTATTCTCTACTCTTTTTTATTGTAACTGATTTATTTTTCACATATTTTTTATTAATTTTATTTTAAATTTTAAACAAATATAAAAGTTGTTACTTAATTCTTTTTTATTGTCTTATATAAACTTTTAAAATTTACGTAAATACTTATATTTATATTTATAAATTTTTTTATTGCTTTATATTATGAGGTCATAGAGTTAAATAAAAAAAAATTGTCAAAAAATTTATTGTTAAAATAATTTTGATTATATATATACATAATTGTTTATAAAATTTTATTTTTAATTATTACAAAATATATATTTATTTTCAAATAAAACACACGTATTACACAATCTATTATCATACAAAATAATCTTATGATATTTACCATCACTGTCTTCGAATCAATCATATGAAATAATATTCAAATATAACTATTAATTTATACAACCAAATTTTTATAATAATAAGTATTATTTTTAATTACATAAAATCAGATAATAACAAAATGAATCTATTTATATAATAGAAAAATAAATTTATAAGTATTATTTTTAAGAATTGTCATATTATATTTATAAATAATTTTTGAAAAAAAATTGATATAATTATAACATAAAATCTTATTTAAAAAACGATGCTTCATGAAAAATTGTGTGAATATAATTTTAAAAACATATGATGACATATAATCTTAATCTATATACGATGTATTTAATAAATTATAAAACATTCAAATCATAAGAATAAAAATATACATTCATAAGATGTTCGATAAATAAATAATATCTCAAGTTTTTACATTTTATCTTTTTAAGCAGAGATGAGTGAAATTGTATCTGGTGTGGCGAGTGCTTTATTGGCAAATCTCACAACCAAAGCTTATCATAAGATTGTGTGGGTATGTGGTCTCAAACGTGAAGTAGAGAGGCTTAAAAAGTCTGTGAAACTCGTCAGTGCCTTTCTTTCTGATGCTGAAAACAAGCAATTCAAAGACCAAAGCATAGCCCTATGGTTGAAAGAACTTAAACATGCACTCTATGATGCAGTTGACATATTGGATGAAATTGAGTGTCAAGAAAATATAAGTAAAGCGATGAAAATACATGGAGGTGTTTCTCAAAAGGTGTGTCAATTTTTCTCAGCATCAAACCCACTTGTATTTCATGTCAACATGGCTCACAAAATTAAGGAGATTAGAGAAAAGATTGATGAGATTGCACGTGAAAGGAACAATCTCGGTCTCATTCAAAATTCTACAAATGACATGGCTCCCAATAAAATGTTATCATGGAGGGAGACCCATTCTTCTCTACCTTCACGAATAACAGGTAGAGATGAAGAAAAGGAACTTATCATAAGTTTATTGATGAGTGAACCATCACAATCACAAAGCAAAAATGTTACTGTCATCCCAATTGTTGCAATGGGAGGGTGTGGGAAGACCACACTTGCCCAATTTGTGTTCAACGATTCAAGAATAGCTGATCATTATGATTTAAAATTATGGGTGCATGTGTCACAAGATTTTGATGTTAAAAGAATAATTTCAAAAATTGTTACACAAGAAGATGATACAAAAGGCAGAGGCGGTGAAGGCATGACCTTAGAAAGGTTGAAGACACTTCTTCATGAGAAATTATACGACAAGAAATTTTTACTTGTCCTTGATGACATGTGGAATGAAAATGCTAAAAGATGGCATGATCTACGGGATCTCCTGTTGGATACAATTGGTGAAAGGAACAAAAATGATTGCAAAATCATAGTGACTACTCGTAGTGACAGAGTTGCTGATATTGTGAAGACTGTTACTAAAATCAAATTACAAGTACTCCCAGAAGAGGAATGTTTGCAGTTATTTTTTAAGTGTGCCTTTCAAGAAGAGGGGGAAGCAAATCAACGTCCCAGGCTTCAAGAAATTGGTAAGGAAATTGTTGCAAAGTGCAAAGGTTTGCCACTAGCCATAGTGACTTTAGGGTGCATTCTTAGGTCACAAGAAGATGAAAATGAGTGGAAAAGAATCCGAGATAGCGAGATATGGGAAATAGATCATCAAAAAGATGATGAAATATTACCAGCATTAAGGCTAAGCTATTCTCAATTGCCATCTCCTCTGAAGCAATGTTTTTCTTATTGTGCACTTTTCCCTAAAGGTCATGAATATATGCCAATAGAATTGATTCCAATTTGGATGGCACATGGAGTCCTCCGACCCACGAATGAAAATGAAGATCCAGAGTGTCTTGGAGAGTTACATTTCAGGCAATTAATTTCATTGTCCTTCTTTCAATTTGTAGATCAATTCCGCTCACCTTTTGAGGACGAATTACCTTTTGACTACGATGTAGGGAAAGTTTTGGGCATTGGAAGTTACATAATGCATGATCTGATCCATGATCTTGCTATGTCGACAATGCATGGTGAGACTACAGTGATAAGTAGCGCATCTACACATGTCAATGAAAAAGTACGACATATATCAATTTCAACCAACCCAGACCAATTGCCTCTGCTAGCCCTCAAGAAAAACAAGGTTCAATCATTTGTAAATTGGCACACACAAGGAGATATCACCACGACAGAACCATTTGTAAAATGGATCTCTAAAGAATTCAAGTACTTAAGGGTGTTGGATTTGCAAAATTTGGCATTTCAGTTCCTGCCTGATTTCTTCGACAAGATGAAGCATTTGAGATATCTTAATCTGAGTTGTTGCTCTCAGTTGAAAAAACTCCCCAAGTCCATTTCCAAGCTCTATAATCTCCAGACTTTAATTCTTCAGGGCTGTGTGGCACTTGAAGAGTTACCTAAAAACTTGAGGAACCTTATCAACCTTCGATTTTTTATGATTACTGCACAAATCACAAATCTCTGCTTTGTAGATATAAGGTTCTTCAGTTATCTTCAGATTTTAACAATTTTCAGTTGTCATAATTTAGAAGTCATGCCGTGTGATTTATCACATTTGGTTTCTTTGAAGAAGCTGGTAATTATGGGATGTGAAAAGCTAGTTCGTTTTGAAGACGAAGTTGAAAATGAAGGAAGAGGGAAGCAAAATGAAGTTGCCAAGGAAATGAATCTTCAAAGATTTGCTATTGCTGGATCGCCCAAGTTGATCAACTTACCCAACTGGCTTCAAAGATCTGCCAAGACTTTACAACAAATTTGTATTTGGGATACAAGTTTAACAGCATTGCCAGAATGGCTTCCAAATGCAACATCACTTAACAGTCTTTACATTTTAGATTGTGAAGAGTTGTTGTCACTGCCTGAGAATATGGATCACTGTCGCAGCCTTCAAACATTAGGAATAATTGGTTGCCCAGATCTGAGTAAAAGGTATAAAGGGGGTGTAGGCCCAGAATGGAGCAAAATAGCTCATGTCCCAAATGTCTACGTAAGTTTCTGCTAATTTTCTTCATCCATTTTATATCTGTTATTTACATATGTATCTCTCTCTTTAATTGCTTTCTATGTAATAAAATATATGTTCTATAATTATGTTTTTCTAACTAATTTAGTGATTGAGACATCTAAGTTGATAACTTTTAATATGCATTAATTATGTTTGGATAATTGCTAAAAAAAGTCTTTATCTTTTCCCAATTACATAGTTTCTAATAAGTAAAAATTATTGAATTTTTTGTACCATGTAAGATGTTCGACGAGGAGTCAACAACAGAAGAAGAAGAATCTGGTGGAAGTCTCCTTTATGTATTGATTAAGTCTTTGTATTTAAACTTATAATTGACTCATGTTATAGGATTTAAATGAGAATGAGTGTGCTTATATTCAAAAAGTTTGTTACTAATTACCTTTTAGTAAATATTTAATAAAAAATTGAGATCATAAAATTTAACTCTTTTGTTTATATATCTAATTGTTCTTTTTGCTTTTTAAAAAAATTATCTATTTTTTATATTAAAAATATTATAAATAAATAAATAAAAACAGATCTTCTTTCCTAAACATCATGGTAATTGTGATATGTTATGTTAAAAAAATTTATTAAATTAAAATGTCGACAGGAAAGTAAGAAATTAAAAAAAAAAATACAAACAAAATTTTCAACTAATTTCATAATCATGAATTGGTTTTAGTATACGTGTATCTCTATAGGCAAAACTCATAAATAAAATGTTTATGTATTAAATTTCATTAAAAATAACAAATAAGAAAAATCATAGATTTATTCCAACAATTTGCCTACTTTAATTTCAGAATTGTTAATATTAATGAAAAAAATAAGATTTAAATTGTTACATATATTGTAAAAATATTTAAAACTAGCACTAATTTATATATATTCACCTGATTGTTACATTTTTTTCTTAAAATACTATAACTATGTATTAGTAACTTGATACATTTTTATGGATCAATCATATACAAATTTGTTATACCAACTTTCCATTTTTGAAAAATATTATTTTCTTTAAAAGATTAATATAAATATAAATATAAATATATATATATATATATATATATATATATATATATATATATCATTCAACTTAACAAGTCACTCACTAAACGTTTTACATTAAATATAATTCTAACTTTAATATTTATTATATAATAGAAAAGAATTAGTATTTTAAATAATTTTTTTAACATACACCTAAAAACATATAATAAAAATTTATATATGATATATTTTATTTAAAAAAATGGATGTACTAAACACTAGATTGTGTAGAATTATATATCTTAAACACCAGACAATTAAAAAGAGATAACACAGAAAAAAAGAAGAAGATAACAAACCCTTCTTATATAATTCAATCTTACAATTAGAATTAAAAAAAGATAAAAGATTATAATTACAGTAGATATAAAATTATTTATTTTGTTTAATTTTATAATTAATTATCTATTTAGTAGGTATATTCATACAATTAATTGATCATGTCTTAGAATTGATAATAAAATATTAAGTTTTGTTTATATATTTTAGCGCAATATGCTGAAGCTCACTGCTCATCACGAATTAACTCAAATGAATTGAATAACTAGTTTTCCTATCTCAAATTTAAATTACACAAACTTTTTATTTAATTAATTCTTTTATGTATTTCAATGGAACTAAAACTTAAATAAACAATAAATATTTTAACAAAAATAAAATAAAAGTGCCTAACAATAGATAAATATCAACTTACTAAAAAAAATTAAATTTAAAAAAATTTTCTTGTAAAAATGTTATATTTTTTTGCCGTAATCTAAGAATGTTTAGGATTTAGAATTTAAAATTTAGTATAATATTAATTGTGGAAAATCTAAATTCATTTTAGTAGTAAGATTTAGACCAAGACTGACCTAAGTAAATAAACCTCTTACTTTATGTTTTTTTATAAAATAAATTTACTTATTAATATTATATTTTTAAAATAAATAATAATAGGAGATGGTGAGAATTGTTTGAATTGAATGTATAAGTAGAGCTACGTAAATGTGAATGATAGTTACTGATATGGTTGATTGTTGATTAATTTATCTTAAATTAGAACTATGGCTAGTAGAGGTAGATCTTTCGGGGCTACAAATGAAATCTTGGCACGCATGACACAAGTCCTGAGGACTTTGGTGCATAATTAGGACTTTGAACCAGCCGAATACTGCGGGTTGTCGCTCTTCACTAAGCACAATCCTCTAAAGTTTGAAGAGAAGTTTGACACAGAGGGGGCTTAGAGTTGGATAACTGTCACGAAGAGTATCAAGTGGTTTATGCAACATATATGTTAGGTGGGAAAGCAGAAGATTGGTGGAGGTTTGCCAGTCAGACTTTGTCACAAGAAGAAGAATATATTTTTTGGGAAACGTTTAAGGCAAGTTTCCTAGGAAATTACTTCTTAAGGGATTTGAAGAAATGAAAGGTCAAGGAATTCCTTGAGTTGAAACAAGGAAGTATGCCTGTGGGATAGTACGTTACAAAATTTCACGAGTTAATAAAGTACTAGCCTCATTTTCAGCATGAAGGAGGTGATGAAGATTTGTGCACTCAGTTTGAGAATAAGTTATGAGTTGATATTCGTGCGGCAGTCAGTGTATTCCAGTTGATTGATATGCCAACTTTGGTCAGCAAGTTTTGAAGCTAACTCAAAAGACAAGTCAGTAGATAGCAGAGTTGGAGGGCCAGTGCAACAGGACAGAAGATCTCCAAGGTTTCAGAGGAGACCATACTCCGATGCTAACCAATCTCAAGCGAGTGGGACTACACCTCGTAGAGGCAACGGTAGTGGTTCCAGTTTCTCTAGGGGACCGGTCCAATGTTTTTTATGTGGAGGACCCCATATCATAAGGAATTACCCACAACCACTTTTGATTTGTACTAATTGTGGAAAGACGGGGCATTCGATGAATAATTGTTGGCCTGCTCCTTAGAAAAGTGGAAGTATGAGTAAGAGTAATAGACCTGCATCCAGAGAAAGCAGTGGGTCAAAGTCGAATGTACAAGACAAAGTTTTTGCTATGAGTGGGTCTAAGGCATCAAAGCCAAACGATCTTACAGAGGTAAATGCATCATTAAGGATAGATTCTTTAATATTATGTTTGATTCTAGTGCTACACACTCTTTTATTTCTATAAATTGTGTGAATTATCTTGGATTACCTGTATCTTCCTTACCATATGATATTATTGTATCTACTCCTACATATAAACCTGTTGTAACCTCACTTGTATGTTTAGGCTGCTTTGTAATGATTCATGACAGGAACTTCATAATAGATTTGATTTGCTTACCGCTTTCTCAACTTGATGTTGTTTAGGAAATGGATTTGTTGTCATCTAATCATGTCCTATTAGATTATAAAGGGAAAGCTTTAATCTTTGGTACTAAAACACCGAAAAACTCTAGACTCCTAAGTAAGGGTGAAACAGGAATATGATCAATACCAAGGCTTTCATGGTATTGTTCTCCTTTGAGACAGAGAAGAATTTAAGAGTTAAGCACATGCCACTGGTGCAAGATTTCTTAAAAAAATTTCCTAACAACGTAGTCAAACTGCCACCGAAGAGAGAGATTGAAATTGATCTCATTACAGGAGCAAGTGCAGTTTCGGTTGCACCATATCAAATGTCACCAATAGAATTGGCTAATGTAAAAAAGTAAGTGAAAGATTTATTGCAGAAGCGATTTATGAGACAAAGTGTATCACGAGCACCAATACTCTTAGTAAAAAAGAAAGATGGGAGTATGAAGATGTGCATAGATTATTGCCATATGAACAAAGTGACAATCAAGAATAAGTATCTTCTTCCCATAATTGAATAGCTGATAGATCAATTGAGAGGAGCCTTCATGTTTTCAAAGATTGATCTATGGTCGCGATATTATCATATTTAAGTGAAAAATGAAAATATTTCCAAGACAGCTTTCAAGACTTGCTATGGCCCATATGAGTGTTTAGTTATTTCATTTAGTGTGACTAATGGTCCACCTCCGCTAATATTCATGGATTACATGAATTAGACCTTTCTTGCTATCTTGAGAGAAAAAGAAGCTAGGGTTCTTGGAGTATCATTTTTACTTTTTAACTTCAATCTTTTCAATAATCCAAATTTTGCACAAGTTAATACAATCATTAACATAACAACAATTAATTCTAGTTTGTAACATTTGGTGGCACACTTTGGCTGAATGATAATTCTATTTTATCCATCTTGACTCTGCCGAGAAGCGACTTCAAGACTTCATATTTGTGAATGGTCGCCACAGTCAAAAAGCAATAAGCTTCCTCCAAAGTTGCTCTTCCAAAAGAGATATATATATATATATATATATATATGGACAGCGGAGAAAATGTGAGAAATGATTGTGTTGTGTTGTGCCTTCTATTGGATAACCAAAAGGCAACACCTTGCTTTCTATCTTGTTGGTAATGTTGCATGTTATATTGATTATATAGGAAAGTAACATATGGTGTTCTTTACTCAAAGATAAGTTTGAATTGATAACAGTCCAACACAGATAAAGAGATTATTTCAGTCTTTATAATTAGTCACATTTAATATTTTCACATGCATCACATTTAACATCAAAATAAAAAAAATTAATATGCAAGTAAGTGTGTAATTAGAGATGTAAATAATTACAACTAAATTTATTTATTATACCAATTTTTTACTTATTATAATTTTATCCAAAAGTCTCAGTTCACAACAACAAATAATAATAATAATAATAATAATAATAATAATAATAATAATACTTGTATTACTAAAAATTTAATAGTATAACATACATCAATATATTTGACATAAGTTAAGAATAGGAATACATTGTATCTAACAAAACTCACATTAATAATAAAATATTAATAGGATAATTATTATTATTATTATTATTATTATTATTATTATTATTATTAATGTAATATACAAAAAAATTAAAGAATACATTAATTCATA